TTTGCCATTTGAGATAAAGCTCTAAACTGCTCTAAAATAATTTGACATACCCAAACACTTCTTTAAATTTTCTGATTGAATGATCTTCAAAGTTGTTAGAGTTACGTGTGATGTGTTGAAATTTCGCTCAACTTCGTCTGTTTTGCTTCTTCAGAGTCGGAATTCAGAATCAGCCAAAAACCTTCCAATCCCACTATTGTGGTGCTTGGAGTAAACAGCAGCCAAGTCAAACTTGACTGGCGGTATTCTAATGCACCAAGTCAGTATTTCGTTCAGTTTTGGAGACAGAAAACTGGTGAAAAAATTACACAAATATCATCAAGCAAGAATGGGAATGCGTTCGACCCGAGCAACACAGAAGAATTCGTTGCTCGGCTTGATGCTACGCTAATACTTAAGAGCGTGAAAGCAAGTGAGAAATATACCTACAGTCTTTATTTGCTGGATTCTAATGCCATAGTGCTAAAGACTCACGCAGTTTTTATCAAAGTAGTTGGTAAGTGAAGTTGTTTTATGAGATTCTTTGATACACTTTGTCTTGTAGTTACTTCGTACGTCAATAACTTAATTGTGTCTTATGGTAACGTACCAAACTTTATATATAAGCCTCTCTCTCTTTGCGTGAAATTATTTTAATTCGAACTTTTTTTGCAGGGAATGATAAGCTTATTTTATAAATGCAAAATCATTGTACCATCTATAACGACACGGTTTCAACGCAATTGTACTTTCAGTGTTTCAAACGGCTTGTTACTTTTTAGCCGCGATTGACGTAGTTATTCTTTCATGAGACACCAGGAATGACTGAAATTCCTGTGAATTGATTGTTATGTTTGATTTTGTTTTTTCTTTTTTTGCTGCTTGAAGTTGTATTTCTGTGATGAAGACTGGAAGTTAAGCTCACGCTTGGGTTATGTTAATGCGAATTGTGCAACCAATATACATGTAAAGTGTACATGCACGATTTTGTTCTTGCTTTTGCAACAATATTCATGAGTATTCTGATCCACACTTTCGATAGAGAACGAGTAACGACTCACGAAACCATCATTGCTAAATATTAACAGCCAATCGGCCTGTATTGTCATTACTCCCATATATGTCAGTTTTGCATGAGTCATCTCGCGTTGAATATTTATATCTGAATGGCTCATTTACTGCTTACAACATTCAAATAGTTATCGACTTGTAAGGTCATAGAAAATCACAAGCACTAAACGATCTTTTATCATTTTTCATTGCTCGCTTGAAGGTACGCAACCGTTGACTCGGAAAATTTGAATGTCTTTTGTTTACTGAAATTTGCGTTAATAGCAGGCTGTGTTTTCCTCATGATGTAGTAAGTTGATTTATTCACATGTTTAACCCATCGTAACTCCCACAGTCCTACTCAGGGTGCTGCGTGAAACGTTTGAATTAATGATTGCTTGGAAGGACATGCATA